CAGACCCCAAAGCGTTTATCTTGTGTTTCGGCCTTGGATTGTTTTGGCAACAACTCTGTTTGCACTCTGGGTTTTCTTCCCCAAACTTTGTATGACAGGGCTGTGTGTGTTGTGTACACAAGAGTTGAAAATTCGATAAGCAAAACAATGCCCACATTGCTTTTGATGTGGCCTCAGGAGGTTTCTCTCAAACCAGATCTGCCAATGGGACCATGTCTCAGTGGTGATCCAATCTGCAGGCGGGGACCAAGGGTTAGGAACACAGATTTTCATTTCGAAACCTACCTGGAACGTTTGGATTTCTGAATTCTGTGCAGATGTGAAGTCATTTTCGAAATACGAAAAAAAAAAGTGCCGCTGATGACTCTTTTGAGGTGTAAAGAAGTGGGATTACTGATGCACGCCTTAAGAGGCCAAGTTCAATTACATGTGCTCTCGACAGACAAGTGGAACGTATTTGATTACATCATGTGCTGTTTTCACATTCTCGTGATAATGATTTCACTAAATCTCATCGACACTGGATACTAAGTGACCTGAAGTTCGGATACAAATATTGGTGAAAATGTATCGAAACGACTATTACCCTGAACCGTACCACACTGGGCTCCACCCTCATCACCTCATGTACCCCACAGCAGAGGATTATGGGTACTCCCCACCCAGCATGCATATGCATGAGGAGAACATGCATGTTCCGTTGTATATGAATGATCATTATGGTAAGTATATAAGCTTCCGATTTCGGCAAGCTTGTAACGCTTTGTTCTACAAAAAACATTTATATGACCTTAGTGTTTGATAAGCATGTGGTTACCCTGGTCTTTTGTGTCGCCATCTTGGTTATAATACTAAAAGTATCCATTATGGAATTGGATGAAGACTTATTGACTTTTTAAAGGTTTTCAAGAATGGAGTCATGTATTCGACCCTTGTTGCGCTAAGAAATATTGTCGTGTCTAAAAGATCTATTTTGGTCAGTCAGGGCTTTTAACAGTTCAAATTTACAATGTGCCTCGTTATGAAAGCTTTATGGGAAAGTATGTCAGAAGCCATTATGAAGTAGAATGACAATGACATGATTATAGGCGACAGGATGTTCAAGGTGTCGGATGGCAGTGTTGAGGATAGATGTACCTCTAACAGCATCAGCAACATGTAATGGCTCTATCATGTATTTACACCATTTTTCATCCTGTATGAATTAAAATGCTTTTCTATCTCATGATCTTTTCTTTCGATCTCTTCATTAGATATTTATGGAAAGATGGAGATCACATATGAATTACGGTTTCAAATGATCATGTTACTTTTTGCTGCTGCTCCGTTTAAAAAAATGAGATGAAATTGTTTTTCAGAAAATATGGTACCATTAGGCTTCCTGACATGTAGCTCTAATGCCTTTTTAAGAAATCTTAGAAATGTACTTAACATCCTCATTAATGTATGAGATTAACCTACAGCTATGTTATTAAGTATACTGTGAGGGTGTCAAGGGGTCCAACACACTATGCAGTGTGTGCAGAGTTATGTTCCCTAGATGTGCCAGGATCCACTGGTACATCCCACATTTGCCCTGATTAAGACCCTTGGTTTGTCAGCAACAGGACCCATGCTTGTGGGTTTCACAAAAGTTGAAACACCTAATATCGTTGCCACTTTAGATGTCCCTTCAACATTATGCTGACACAATGTGACAGAATGGAAATTCTTTTCGATGTGTTAAACTTAAGTCCTCTCTCATATGCTTGGTAACCTGATACTGGTAACAATTTGTGAATATATATAATTTCAAAGAGAGTGAATAATCATTTTACAAATTAGGGGAATGAGGATATGTATAAAAATATAGTGTGTGGCTCTGATTATATTGAGATTAAAATTTTATACTTATGATGATGTTGTTTTTCTTAAAGCATTTTTTATTTATGAAATAAAAACCACGAGTTGTTTATTTCTTATATGAGATATCAACATTATGTACATCATCTTTAAGGATGATGATAAAATGTAGGAGCTTTAAAAATATTTACCCATATTTAAATAATGATGACTCCATCAAAAGAATCCGACCCCGGCAATGTCAGACAAGTCAATTTTTTGCACAGGTGGGTATTCTCCCATATTCTCACAATCCTTAAATTGTGTCCATAACCTGTATCTTTTCTCCCATTGCCAATTTCATGTCTCTCCCCAGGGTTTTACCTTGACTTACAAAAGTGGGGGTTCAGAGGATCCCCAATAATTAATGTTAAGGGTCCTTGCCGCCAATATGAGGGCACTGTAAAGTAAAAAGATGCTGTAGTGTACTGTACGTTTAGAGCCTGGAATGAATCAATGATCATGTGGACAGTGGTCATGATTGATGGGTGAAATAACAGACACCCATAACTGCTCTTGATGCGCTGTAGTTATTATGATTATAATTGTGCGTCCCAAGGGATGCAGGATATATATTTTTCTGCGTCCGTTCTCTCTATTTATTCGTACTGGACACACATTTGTGCGTCATGTAAAACCCTGCTCCCGCTTTTGGATGTGATCGTTCGGCCACTGCGTTTATCTGCTTTGCCCAGCTTAGTATAATACATTCGTGAGGAACAATTTATTACACTCCCCTCTAAAAAATAGCGTTGTCCAATATACGACGTCATCAAGTTGCGAGCGCATGTTCGAATCTCCAGAATTGACGCCATGATGGAACAATGTTTTATCGCGAAATAAACCATGCTTCGTTCTTCATTGTTGTTTGCGATTTATCGTGTCTTTTATACAAGAATATTGTATCAAACAGCACTCTAAAGCAACAGTTACCGTGGTTACATTTTTCTTGTGTTCGGTGAAAATAAAAGTAACAGGTGTGGTGTCATGCGCATGCAATCATTTTGTTGAAAAAGGAATATTATGTCAGAAGATTAAAACGCACCTATATTTACTTTTTGCTTGAGATGTAATTCATAAACAATTTTGAATTGTGACTATTAATATTTTTGGGTATCATTGAAAGTATTAAAAATTACATTTGTAATATTTTTTAAGTAAGAAATACATCCCTGCATCACTTACATTAATTGACATTAATATCATATGTGTAAACAATTTACAAAAATGTTTTCATACATTTAGCACAAATTTCAGAAATTTGCCAAGTATATTATGAAATATTTTTAACATATCTTTATTACAATAGGCCTTATCTTTTGAGTAAATGAAAGAAAAGAACACTTGAATATAATTTAAATTATTTTGTTTGGGAAATTGTTTTTGCTTACTCCAAGAATCAAGTGTTTCTATTTGAGGCCATTTTTTATGCAAAAACATTGACTAATTTTGAATGATAGTTCTTTTTGTGACACTTATAATAATCATCCACAAGTTCATGAACACAAACCAAAAACTGAATTGGCAAGAAACTACAGAAACAAATATGACAAATTACTTTATCTTACCTCCATATTAGAATATTGTGATCTGATTGATTTACATGGCCTTGATAAAATACCATGCATCACGCCTGGGAGGGATATAGAATCCTGAGTGGGAAAATAAATCCCCATATACCCTACCACGAAGAATACAGACTGCACATGAGCAGGAACAGTAAAGCCCTTATGCCTTGTTATAAATCAGAAAGCCGCACGCTGCTAACAAGTCAGTGAAAGCCAGGTGACAGGGCACAAGCTAACCTCGGCTCAACAGATATTTCCAATTTTGGTTTTCTTTAGTTCTTTTACAATGACAGATTGAAACAAGTCAGCAAGATTAATTCATTATAGCAGTATCACTTGGGGTACATTTGGTTTTATGCGTCCCTCGTAAAGTTTGATACCACTTGCCAGTTCAGCTCGTATAAAACCTAATGCAGGATGCGTAAAACCACATATAACCCAAGCGAGACTGATACAACTTAGATAGAGGTTATTTCATGTGTTGAGTGAAATATCATGTTTCATCGGGTGACAATGGGAAAGGAGATATTTTCATGAATGGCATAGCCACGTGTCACGAAAATTCTTTATCGTACGTTTAGATATGATTATATACAAATCAACTTCAAAAAAAATATTCTTAAAGTCTATGAGACCGTTGCTGGAAGCGAACAAATACATGCTGGTCAAGTAACAAAAATGGCACTTTGCGAAACGAAAGTCTCGATTGACCAGTTAAATATGAAATGTACAGTTTATAACGAAACATTTTCAAGAGAATAACAAACGGCAAGAAGTGATATTTACTCCATAAATGAACATCTGTCAATATTTTGCCTTGTCAATGTGGAACTAACGTAAAATGGAAGTCATCAGTTTGTTCTTAGCCCAAACACTTACGGTTAAGGGAGACAATTTGCGGGGAGGTAGCTCTTGTATAACACAGGTCCGTCAAAGTGCAGTGAAATATCAAGTGTTATGTTCGATGCAATGAAAATATCACTTTTCTCAACTTCAGAAAACTCTGACTAAAGTATATAATAAATCATGCTATTCATACCTGTATTCTGGAACTGGTGCTCCTCTTGTACAGTGAACACCATATTTGGTAAGAGCATTCTCCCTCTTTGACATAACTGGTCTCCAAATTCTGTCTTCTGTATCAAAACACACTTTCAGTGTACATGAACTACATAAAATGGTCCAAAATCCTGTATTGAAATAAATTGGTATGGCCAGTTCTTAGATCAGACCTAGAACTGCAAGCTATTTATGATATCAATACATTTAATAAAAGAGAGTATTTGAATTATAAATTTAAAATTGAAACTAACAAATCACGGATCGGATAGTTCTAGAAAAAGTTGATTGCAGTGATGACAGATTTCCTAATATTTATGATTTCAAATCATTCTTACACAGTATATTAATTTTAGAAATTGAAACTAACATACCAATCCTTAGATCAGATAGTTCTAGAAAAGCAAGCCAGTAAGCGAGGGATTGTGCTTGCACGAACATTCCATACACTCTGTAGAAAAATCAATGATCGTCACACCAAGCCCTTGTTGCCATCAAAGTGGGGATCATGAGAACAGGTGGACGACACTGTTGCACATCACAGAGGAAATCAAGCTGAGAAGTTGTTAACAGGAAAACACAACAATCTCACAGCGTACTCCAACCATATCCTATGTGACCACAACTAATGTCAGCATCGCGTCTTTGTAGTGAACGCCATGTGGTTTGCATGATAGACAGAAGACACTGTTGCACATCACAGAGGAAGTCAAGCTGAGATGTTGCTGATGGGAAAATATAGCTTCCTTATAATGTTCTTAAACCATGTGATCGTGTAGAAAACTATGTGACCAAAACTACTGTCATGTGCAGCAGGGCCTGTTGTGAATGGCTATGTGTTTGCCTTGAACTGTTGCAAGACAGTAACAAAGACTGATACCAGGTCTCATCTTGGAATTGGAATCAGAAATTATGGCACCAAATGGCTCCTAGATGTGGGTTTTCTTTCATGTGGGTGGTGAGGATAATTTGAAAGTCTCCCTACCTTCATCGAAGTAAAGAATGACAGGGCTATGGTTTTCTAGCTGGATTTGGGTCCATATGTTTCCTGTCGCCAGTTTCACGATGTGATGCTGACTTTGAACATTCCCACATGTGGATATGTTATTTAAACATTCAACAATTCAATATTGGAGGATATATCAAGTTTTCAGCATGAATCTTGACGTGTTTCTTGGTCCATTGACAGTCGGTAGCGATATGGTGATGAACGTACTCAGTGACCAGTTTGATGACAAATCTACGGGTAAGTCTCCAATACAGCTACATACCCTTGGCGAAGGATTTATGGGAAATGGAATGCTAGATTAGTACTCGTACATTTCTAAAAGACCTTTCACTTATCACAAGGCCAAAAAGAATAATTTATCATTCCACTTTAATTCCAATTTGATTTTTCTCCACCTTGTTCAAAAAGACTTTTCTTTTCAAAATTTATTCCCATGTTTGAAGATTCAGTTATAAGTTCTGAGGGAGTGAGGTCTATTTTACAACACTGTTTACCACAACTCAACCATGGCAGGTACAGAGTTTTCACACTGTGTAACCATGCTGGAACTTGTACTGGGCTTCAGTGTGACAACAAATGTTTGAACTTCATGACCCTTAATTTTGAAGACACTGACACAGGGCATAATAAGTATAATCAGGTTTTGGGAAATCCTGATAAGTGTTGACATTTATTCATGTGCCACCATAAACTGTGTGGTCTTTTCATAGACCTTGGATCTGATGTAAAGAAATAGGTTTGCTGGCAGTGATGCCTAAGGGTGAGCTATTAAGTTGAAAGACAGTGGGGAGGGGGGGGGGGGGGGGGGGCACGGGTGGCCGAGTCGTCTAAGGTGCTGCATTTCACTGTGCAGAGTTGCGTCCCTTGAGGCCGCCAGAAACCTATGATTGTGGGTTCGAATCCTGGTTTTAGGGTTGTCAGCACCATACCCGTGCTCGTGGGTTTCACCAAAGTGGTAAGCGTCTGAAACCTGCATCACTTCGGGCTTTCCTCCCACATTAAGCTGGCATGCCGTGATATAACTGGAATACTGTTAAAAGCGGTGCTAAACCCAACTCACTCACTCACTCACTGAAAGACAGTGGAAATATTTCTTGATGCAATTATTGAAACAAACAGCAGATCCAGAGATCAGACATTTAATTAACTCTCAGACAATGACAGTATTGCCAAAGTAATCCCAGATTAGTGCAAAAGTCCTGAGCTATTGCCTGGTAATTCACATGATGGTATTAGTGGCCATCAATCATACATTGGCTTCATCACATGACTTGACTGGGAGAAGTAATGATGGGAGTTGATGGAATTGGTTGCCATGATGAAAGTGTGGCTTGTTTGTCTGATTAAGGGATGAGAGTGTTTGTGAATTGATCTCTTCTCTTTGGATAGGGTAAAAGAGAGTCAGTATTCTATTTTCTTCTGATTTAGTGAGAGAAAAAGTATCTATATCCCTCTGATGGTGAGAGAGAATATCTTTTTTCCTCTGGTGGAGAGAAAGTATCTTTCTTCCTCTGGTGGAGAGAAAGAGTATCTATTTTTCTCTGATCGAGAAAGAGTATCTTTCCTCCTCTGATGGAGAGAGAAAGTATCTTTCTTCCTCTGATGGAGAAAGACAAAATCCCTTCTTCATCTGATGGAGAGAAATTATCTTTCCTCCTCTGATGGAGAGAGAAAGTATCTTTCTTCCTCTGATGGAGAAAGACAAAATCTCTTCTTCATCTGATGGAGAGAAATTATCTTTCCTCCTCTGATGGAGTGAGAAAGAGTATCTTTCTTCCTCTGGTGGAGAGAATCAGAATCTCTTCTTCCTCTGAGGGAGAGAAAGATTATTCTCCTCTGATGGTGAGAGTAATATGTATTCCTCTAACTGAAAATATGTTTTGTCTTCCTCTGATTGAGTATGAGAGAGAGAGGGAGAGAGAGAGAGAGATGTTTTCCTTCGATAGAGAGAATTATGATTTCCTCTGATTGAGAAAGAGAGAGAAAGAGTTATATCTTTCTTCCTTACATTAAGAAAGTCTATTCTGTCTTCTTCAGGATGGGAGACAAGGCTCAGATATTTTGTCTTTTCTCTTTCTTGAAGGTAGCGATATTATTATTATATATACAATACATAAAGACTCCTATTCCTTAATTTACGTAATTAAAAAGAACCCCAAGCAAACCTATTTTGTAAATTGTAACTTGATGACTGAGAGTGAGTAATTTGTGTTTAATGCCACTGTGACCTGTATCCAGTTATGTCACAGTGTGTCAACTTAATGGGGGAGGTCTTCAAAGCCGTAAGTGGTGCAGGTCTCAGATATTTACCACTTTGGAGAAACCCACGAGCCCGGGTATGGTGCTGACAGACTTACTCGTAGAAACATAATCAGAGTGAAACGGGATTCGAACCCACGATCATAGGTTCTGGCGTGCCCAAGGGACGCAACTCTACATGGCAATTGCAGCGCTTTAGACGACAGGGCCGCCGTGCCCCTGATGACTGATATGTACTATCAGAAAATAGTATTGAACAATTCATCTTCATGCCAATAAAGATCCAGGGTAGAATAGGTCTTCAGCAACCCACGCTTGCCGTAAATGGTGACTATGCTTGTCGTAAGAGGCAACTAACGGGATTGGGTGGTCAGGCTCGCTGACTTGGTTCATGCATGTCATCGATCCTAATTGTGTGGATCGTTGCTCATGATATTAAGCACTGGATTGTCTGGTTCCAGACTCGATTATGTACAGACCGCCGTCATATAGCTGGAATAATGCTGAGTGTGGGATTAAACAAAAAACCACACCAATCCAATCCTTTTAATAATTGAAACACATCTCTTCATATATAAAGCACAGAAACCCTGCTCCCTGTATATTATGTAGGATGTTACAGCGATACCATACCATACCATACCATACCATACCATACCATACTTACGCTGTGAAATCGGCCAGATTAACTAACAACCCGGAACATATTGGTGTTTCCAGGAAGATCGATCGTCTGGCAGGCACAATTTAGGTATCAGTTGAGTCCTCACAAATGAGGTTTCACTATATACTCTGAAAAGAAGGATCCAGAATAACAAGGGTTAGGTGTATATGGGTTATGGCTACAGTAACGGAGTCTTGTCATGAGTGTGTCACTATGGATACTAGATGATCCTGCTCAAAAATGGATGGATGACATTGTTATGGAGTGACCTGACATGTTCAAATACACCGGTTTCTAGCTTCAATTACCAAAAAACTGTATTTCTGTTTTATATTTCCATAAATGATTTACTAAAGTCTTTATTTCCTATTACCGTATTCCACGTAATAAGCGCCCTACTCTAATAAACGCCCACTGCTATATTTGCTAATAAAAAATATAATATAAATATAAATTTTATATAAATAAATAAATATAAATATAAATAGTTTTCTAATAAGAGCCCCCTATTTCTAATTTTGAGAGCGCCCTGGGCGCTAATTACGTCAACTACAGTATTTTCTTTTTTCATAACCTTTTCATTGGAACTTAAACAGATGGGAATGAGTACTTCAAAGATCAAAGGGAATCTTTCTGACCCACAAGCCACACATGCCTGTGCATGTATAAGGTCCTTGAAAATATATCATGCAACATCATTATTTAAGAAATAAGTGATGAGTGGGAGTTGTTTATCATACAGTCAAATACTGGAGGGATGACAAACCATGAAGGGCAGTGTTTCATTGTACGAATAATATTGACCATGATCTGTTTATTTCTTATATGAAATCAACATTATATACAGCCTCTTTAAGGATGATGATTAAAATGTACAAGCTTTAAATATAATATATATATTTAACCTTATTTAAATAATGATGACTCCCTCAAAAGATTCCTGCCTTGGCAATGTCAGACAAGTCCATTTGATGCACAGGTGGGTATTTCCCGCATATTCTCACAATCCTCACATCGATTAAATGTAGCTTTTCTCCCAACACTGATTGGCATATATCTCCCGCTATTGGAAGCGATCGTTTGGCCATCGTGCTTATCTGCGTTGCCCCGCTACACCTATTGTGAACAACTCACTGGACACTCCCCCTCACAAACATAACATCCAATATACAACGTCATCAAGTTGCGAACACGTGTTCGAATCTACAGAAATGACGTCATGATAAAACAGTGTTTTATCGTTCTCCATTATTCTTTGCGATTTAGGGGGCACGGGTGGCCCAGTCGTCTAAGGCGCCGCAATTCGCTGTGCAGAGTTGCGTCCCTTGGGCTAGCCAGAAACCTATGATTGTGGGTTCGAATCCCGGTTCGCCCCGATTATGTTTCTAGGTTTGTCAGCACCATACCCGTGCTCGTGGGTTTCACCGAAGTGGTAAACGTCTGAGACCTGCATCATTCCGGGCTCTCCCCCCACATTAAGCTGACACGCTGGATACAAGTGGAATACTGTTAAAAGCGGCGTTAAACCAAACTCACTCACTCACTCTTTGCGATTTATCGGTTGGCTATCTCATATTGAGTATACATGCTTCAAAAGATATGCCAGACCCGTGATAAGCCTTGATGGTTAACCTCAGTTTTTCGGAGCCATATCAATGCAGCAATTTAGTCTACGTTCATGAGAGCTTCCTTTGACATTGAACTGACACGTGGTGTAATAATGTTTGAAGTGGCTCAAAACCCAACTGACTTACTCGCTTGCATGTACTCATTGCTCAGGTTTATCAGGAAATTAATATGCGTGCCAACTCCCGTACCATTAAGTTTAATAGGAGTAGCCCCACCCTTGAAATTTAAAAACACTGTCTACTTAATCTGAAAACAATTACACAAAGAATGTAAACTTATGTAGAATATACAACGAAACAGTGCAGGGTTTTGAAAGTTTCATTTTCACAAAAATGTTTAACTTCTCATGCTTAAAGTCAACAGCATGAAATGGCAAATTCGTATATTCAAATGAGCTGGGTCAGGTCATGCCTTGAAAACTGTGAAGGTTTCAAGAATTGCATCATGAGAGTTATTAGGTTATTTGACAAGATTACCAAGATCAAACACACCGAAGTCAGCGAGCCTGACCACCTATCCCGTTAGTCGCCTCTTACGACAAGCATAGTCGCCTTTTACTGCAAGCATGGGCTGCTGAAGACCTATTCTAACGGATCCTCACACCAATGGGGGGTACGGGTGGCCCAGTTGTCTAAGTCGCTGTGATTCGTTATGCGTCCCTTGGGCTCACCAGAAACCTATGAATGTGGCTTGGAATCCCGGTTTGCCCCAACTATGTTTCAAGGTTTGTCAGCACCATACTTGTACTCGTGGGTTTCACCGAAGTGGTAAACGTCTGAGACCTGCATTATAAACTTCGGGCTTTCCTCCCACATTAAGCTGACATGCCGTGATATAACTGGAATACTGTTAAAATTGGCGTTAAACCCAACTCACTCACTCACTCACACCAATGACTGGCTTAGTCAACAATCCCAACCTGAAAACATTTGATGCGGCACCAAGAGAGAAAGACCAAATATAATTAAATTAAATTGTTTATTGGGAGCTTTAGTATGTGATTTGTGTCTTGTATTCACTCCTCCCCTCCCAAGGGCAACACACTTGGAATCCTTCTATTCTCAGTCTGACATATAAGGTCATAGAATGTTTGCTTCACTTGCACACAGGGACTATCCTTATATCCTTATGGCTTCTTTAAAGGAAGTAGTACATTAATACCACTCCCCATGCCATTTGGACATAGTGCCTTCAGGAGGCGTATAGTAACTAGTTTACTGTCATGGTTGTGCCATGTTTTTCATCACCAGCTCGTAGAAGATGAAGGCGTGTCACGAGGGGATGTTGATGATGCCTCTGCTCCTCCTCATCAGATCGATCATTTGAATTGTAGGGATTTTGAGCTGGGATCTCTTTGTGAGATTAAAACAAAATCCATATTTTAACCTTTAGGTTTCTTTGACCAACGTAATTTGTCTTTTTCATTAATATGAAACAGACATGGGAGGAATAAATGTTATGACAATATTACAAATTATAAGATGCAAATAAACATGTTTTCAGTCAAAAACAGCATTTATTTATTTATTTTTGCCCCTGTTAAATATAAGGCAAGCACGTTTCTTCACCAGGAGTAAATTTAAGTACTTTTACGTCTTTCCATAGGTGTGATTTTGTTGTTCAGGATAAACACTGTCCATGTTCTATAATTATGATACAGCTTACCAAAGAAATTTTGAGTTGTATATGCTGACCATTATGATTTGGGCATTATAACTATGATTTCGAGCCTAAAATTGTGTTATCACACTTGTCCTCATGCAAATTGTGATTTCTGTCGTTGTTTTTCCCCGGATTATTTACATGCATAAAATATCACCGAGCAAATTGTTAGGTTTGGTTTGGTTTCCTGTTTAATGCCGCACTCAGCAGTATTCCAGCTATATGATGGTGGTCTGTAAATAATCAAGTCTGGACCAGACAATCCAGTGATTAATATCATGAGCATTGATCCACGTGATTGGGATCGATGATATGCATCAACCAAGTCAGCGAGCCTGACCACCCGATCCCATTAATCGCCTCAGACTTACGACAAGCATAGTCACGTTTTACGGCAAGCATGGGCTGCTGGAGACCTATTTTACCCTGGATCTTCACGGGTCAACAAATTGTTGATGCACTAGTGACGTGAAGCATTCTTCAGCGAGATCACGCTGTCATTTTTTAATGACCCCCATACTTCAATTCACAGCATTAATATATCCATTACTTAGTGATATGAGGGTATCAGCTTGTCAAAGACATATCAATCTTGAATGCCTCAGTGGTCTAGTGGTAGAGTATCCCCCCTGACAGTGGAACATCTGGGTTCGATCCCCAGAAACAAGGTCTGGTCGGCTCAGAGTCAGTATATGTATAGCTGCTTGAACTGGTCCGTACTCATGCCAATTTTATAATTCTAGCCCACAGAATTGGGTATTCATGTTAAACTGGGGCATGGTATTTTGGTGGGCTTGCACTTTAAAAAGAAATGACATTAGTCCGGATTAGTACAAGCAGCCACACACACATGGCATGCATGTCACTATATAAGTGCCATAATCTTTGACGTGACATTAAATGTAATTTCCTTACCTCACCCCACAATCTGCTGTTTTGTTAAGCCTGTCATGCTGCTAAATCATTAAAGTGAGTTCTTGTTTGTTGTACTCATTGTCACTATGGAAAGATGAAGTTGGCAAAATTTAAAGGGCCTCAACAATTTATAAATGTTTTAACAGTTTATTTGAGGTTAGTTTCCTAAACATTGCTAAAGAAACTTAAAAATAACATAAAACATATTTGAAATGAGCTTAAATTCTGAAAAAATATATCTGTCGTACTTAAACAGTTCAGGCTGTCAGCATAAAACCACGAAATTTATCTTTCAGCATATTTTTTCACCAAAATAATATTCTAATAAGAGCCCCCTGTTCCTAATTTTGAGAACGCCCTGGGCGCTTATTACGTCAAATACGGTATTTTGAATCAATGTCATCTTTTTAGATACAAAATTGAGTGAAGACTGATAAGTAAAATATGAAAGTTAATGGTACGGTGTTGCCACATTATATATATCTACTTGTTCACTTACATGTCAAAGACCTAAAGTAAGTGCTTGAGGGAAGGGAGGAAAACCATAGGGGGACGTCTTTTACCATATAGGACTGAGATTTAGTGCCATTTGGAATTCAAAATGTTGTTGCCTGGGAAACCACAAGGTGTTGGAATCTGAAACATTGTTTGTTGCTACACAGTGGGAGTCATATTTGTTAAAAAAAAAACACCTGTTGAAGCAAATGGCAGAAATTCTAAATCTTCAAAAATATTTCCAGAAACAACAAGGCCCAGAGAGCTGAAACTTTATAAAGATTTGTAGAACAATAATGTGTCTTGAATTTATTTCTTGCAGAAAAAATTTGTATTTAAATTTAAAGGATATTTTTCAGTATTTTTACAAATATGAAACTGGTTTTTAAACGTCATCAGCTACCCTGGAGAAATATGTTAATATCAGAAAGTTAATTACCAAATGTAATAATCATTATTTTCTTGCCAAACAGTGCTCTTTTAAGTTTACAGAACATTTGATTGAGATTATGGTGTTTTCTCAAACCAAACAGCCATGTAGCCACACTTTCCCATGGTGATGGGAACAGATGTCAATACATATATTAAGCTCCCTGTGCATGTATCTTGTGAGACACAACACTCCATAGAATTATACGTTTCTTCCATATTCTCATCTTGTTTTACTGATATTCTTTATCACACTGCAAGGTAATTACATATGTCATTTTGATATGAATAACATTTACCTGTGTTTGTTTCCAGAGTACCTGCCTCACTCACTCCAGGGGGCACCAGTGTACCCGTGTCCTGTACCTGCTTTCGCCTCACCGGACACGAAGCGGGTCAAGGCCAACCAATCCAAGAAAATGGATCAACGGAAAAGAAAAGGGTCAATGATTGAGTAAGTCTACTGAAACACATTTGTTATTGTTGTTGAAGGGCACTGCATTTGTTGTTGAGGGCACCACAATTGTTGTTGAAGGGCACCAGATCTGTTGTTGAAGGGCACCAGATCTGTTGGTGAAGGGCACCAGATCTGTTTGTGAAGGGCACCAGATCTGTTGGTAAGGGGGCACCAGATCTGTTGTTATAGGGCACCAGATCTGTTGTTGAAGGGCACCAGATCTGTTGGTAAGGGGGCACCACAATTGTTGTTAAAGGGCACCAGATCTGTTGGTGAAGGGCACCAAATCTGTTGGTGAGGGGGCACCACAATTGTTGTTAAAGGGCACCAGATCTGTTGGTAAGGGGGCACCACAATTGTTGTTAAATTGCACCAAATCTGTTGGTGAGGGGGCACCACAATTGTTGTTAAAGGGCACCAGATCTGTTGGTGAAGGGCACCAGATCTGTTGGTAAGGGGGCACCACAATTGTTGTTAAAGGGCACCAAATCTGTTGGTGAAGGGCACCACAATTGTTGTTAAAGGGCACCAGATCTGTTGGTGAAGGGCACCAGATCTGTTGGTGAAGGGGCTCCACAATTGTTGTTAAAGGGCACCAGATCTGTTGGTGAAGGGCACCACATGTGTTGTTGAAGGGGCACCACAATTGTTGTTAAAGCGCACCAGATCTGTTGGTGAAGGGCACCAAATCTGTTGGTGAGGGGGCACCACAATTGTTGTTAAAGGGCACCAGATCTGTTGGTGAAGGGGCACCACAATTGTTGTTAAATTGCACCAAATCTGTTGGTGAGGGGGCACCACAATTGTTGTTAAAGGGCACCAGATCTGTTGGTGAAGGGCACCAGATCTGTTGGTAAGGGGGCACCACAATTGTTGTTAAATTGCACCAAATCTGTTGGTGAGGGGGCACCACAATTGTTGTTAAAGGGCACCAGATCTGTTGGTGAAGGGCACCAGATCTGTTGGTGAAGGGCACCAGATCTGTTGGTGAAGGGCACCAGATCTGTTGGTAAGGGGGCACCACAATTGTTGTTAAAGGGCACCAAATCTGTTGGTGAAGGGCACCAGATCTGTTGGTGAAGGGGCTCCACAATTGTTGTTAAAGGGCACCAGATCTGTTGGTGAAGGGGCACCACATGTGTTGTTGAAGGGCATTGGTGGCCCAGTGGGTTAAGGTGCCACTATTTGCTCAGCAGAATAACCCCCATTTTATGACCCTTTGCTCACTGGTGTTCATGGCTTTACCAAAGTGGTAAACATCTCCAGCTTTTTGAGGTTTCCTCACACAATAACAGTGTTACTGCTGGCTTTTGAAACTGCCAGTCCACTGGGTGAGGCCTGGCAACTCTAAGAATTACCAATCCCCCCTACCTTTGTCAGTCTTTCAACAATAAAAAAAACGTAAGTAAATTACCTGGTTTTATTTCTTTCAACATCATGTTCAATACAATGATGAAATCTCTGAAGTAACTTAGCTAGATGTGCACGTCATTCACACAAATGAATGTTGCTGATGTTTCGTTAAAAAACAAAGATTTATGAGGTACTTTATTTGCCGGTCCACAGGGATTGGCAGCCACATGAGTTACCGATCCAAGGCTAATTTTACCGGTAAAAAAAATGGTAATTACCGGTAAACAGGAACACTGAATAAGCAGACACGCCATGATGTTACTGAAATATGGCTCATATTGAAGTAAGACATGCTGCTTTTGATGACAACTATTACAGTGGATGGATATGACACAAATAATAATAATAATAATAATAATATTATTATTATAATTTGTGCATTTTTATTACGCCAAATTCCATTCACTAAGTGGATGCTCGTAGCGCTACACTACACATCTACTGCTACAAATCATATTACTGTAATTAACGTGATAGCATTTTGAAGGGGCCTTTTTTAATTTTTGGAATGTGTCATATTCTGCATAAGAGTGGAGATGATAATTACTTTAATAGTGATACATGTTCCTACCAGCTGAATACAGTAGATCCCTGTTCATCCGTACACTGTAAACCATCCAAAGGATTAGCTTTCGGGACATCTGTTTAAATATGTAAGGAGCATACCCATGAATGACTCAGTATTCGAGGAGAGGCACCGAAGGCCCCGTCGTCTAAGGCGCTGCGATTTGCTGTGCAGAAGTGGTAAACGTCTGAGACCTGCATCACTTTCGGTTTTCCTCCCACATTAAGCTGACACGCCGTGATATAACTGGAATACTGTTACAAGCGGCATTAAACCCAACTCACTCACTCAGTATTCCAGGAAGTTAATAAGTCATTTCAGTGTGGATGTCACATACCAGCTTTTCAGTGAGAGTTATCTTTCCTGTTTAGAGTTGTCCACCCTGTCTGTCTGCTGCCAAGCCAGTACTCCAGATAATGCTCTGTTCTAGCCTTGGCTACTATACATATCTTTGAAGAATCAAGACTTGCTTTCAGAATAGCCAAGAGTGGGTGAGTGAGTGAATATGGTTCAATGCCGCTTTTAGCTCACTCACTCACTCACTCACTCACTCACTCACTCACTCACTCACTCACTCACTCACTCACTCACTCACTCACTCACTCACTCACTCAGTCACTCACTCACTCCAGTAGTTTTATTTTCTGTAAAATAGTAGCAGGTGTAATAAAGGCAATAGAACATATGGATTATCCAATAGGCAAAATATCCCCTCAAACTACTTTGGGGGTTGTCAATTGTGACATTTCTTTTTTAATTTGAAAAATGACAGAGTTCATCTGTCAGACATGAAACACTTGATACATGGTATCAGTTGGATGACATTAAGTGGATGAGTATACACAGACACACTTATCAGTTAACAAACTGACTTGTGTTGATCAATAAAATTAACTTAACCAGTTCAAGCTGATAGTAAGGTACATCAGGTTGTGTGTTGCCAAGTGATCTTCAGTCTGGACAACAAGGTGAACTGAAGGTTAAAGTCAACTTATTTGTCTTGATTTGTAAGAAAGGTGACTACATCAGACTAATAACCTAAATGTCTGTACATCTCCACATGTTAAATCACAAATATAACAATAATCTTTGAGATGGTTCATTTACAGCAGGCTTGCTGTCTGATATCACAAATGGCAGTCTATCCTTAGGGACACAATCTTTGTTCATGACGTCATTCGGAGAGCAAACTGGTTCGTCAGTTTTCGATTTGTCAATTTTTCCACGTTTCAGAAGTTATATTCTTAAGCCGTCTTCAGAAGAAGCTTTTATGCTGTTAGTTTACAGTCAGAAATATGCATGTTGACCATATCCTCAGTTAGTTGTTGTAACATGAGAGGTAGAGTACAAAAACACTTGGCTGAAAGTATCCCTATGTCCACAGCGTTAGTCCTTGCCAAACTGCCCAGTAGTTAAGGTATCCTGAGGACAGGTAGAAATTTGCCATTTTTAGGGTGAGTGAGTGAGTGTGTGAGTGAGTTTGGTTTTACGAGTGGACAGGCCTAGTGGTTAAAGCGTTCGCTCGTCACGCTGAAGACCCAGGTTCCATTCCCGACATGGGTACAATGTGTGAAGCTCATTTCTGGTGTCTCCCGCCGTGATATTGCTGGAATATTGCTAAATAGCAGTGTAAAACCAAACTAGCTGACTCACTTTTCCATGGTGAAAATGTCCCGTTCTCTGAGAATTGATTTGAGTACTTGTTCACAACACATTTTTAAGGCAGTACAGAAAGGCTGTGTAGCCGCTGAACAAATGGCTTAATTCCTGCCGCACATACAGTCTGCCCCACCCGGAAATAAAGCCCTTGTTACTTCATACCATATATCTGTATTGTCATGTCTTCAGTAATGCAGATGTACAGTGTTATTTTCATAAACATCCTATTCATCACACATTTCAAGTAAACTTTTTCTGACCTTAGTAGCTGTCATTATATTGGTGCTCTTGACACCGCCCCCACATGCTGTGCCCATCTGCATCTCTGAGCTCCCTGTATCGGAGGCTAGTCTGGGGTTCAAGTTCTAGATTCAATTTGATTTTGACCTGTTTTTTGTTCACCGGTCCCTGTATTCCACGATTCTGCAGTCATGGAATATATTCTGCAGAAATACCCAATCAGTGCAGAAATGTACCTATCTTGTAGAAAATCACATTTTGTGCAGAACTCGTGCAGAATTCTGCATTTGGCAGCTGCAGAAATCATCAAATATACTGCAGAATTGTAACATGTGAGTGGAAAGCTGGTTTTAAACATGTGAACGGATATATATTTCATTTTGAAGTGAAGTTGATTTTTCTATTATTGCTGACTGAAAGTGCATGTCTATTTTTACACTAGTTATCTCCAGATTCTCTTCAATAAGGTATTATGCCGATATGTTTATCATAAAGCCTGCCAAACAGGTGCAAAATTATGAAATTCACAAACACTAAGCTTAAGAGTTTGCAGAAATGTGTGCAAAATGTTCAAAATTTGGTTGCAGAATTTGCAAACATTGACCACAGAATTTTGATATTTTGGCTGCGGAATACAGCAGGGACTGATGCATTGTCACCACCAAACTTATCAATGGGTTTGATTTACCTCACACTCTTCAACTCATTACCATATCTACCAATTAATCAACCAGATCTTAACTCAGTAATCATGAAAAATGCAAACTGAGTCATTTTTTCTATGTTCTCAAATTATATTTGATATTTTTTTCCCCGAAGCCCTCAAACTATTACCTTCTTGGTGGCTTATCCTTGAATTACCAAATCAGTTAAAGGCACAAAATGAATTGAACTTGTACCTCTTAGAATAAAGTATATTTGATTCTAATCTAACATAAAGATCACTTTATTTTGGAGTAAGGTGCATCCATACCTTTCAGTGAGCATCACCACTTGATAGTGTTTCAAATACACATTTATGATATACTGTATTTGACGAAATAAGCGCCCACGGCGATATTTGCTAATATATTGGCTAGTGAACAATCCCAATCAGCACCCCTTCCGATTGATCAATGTACACAAGACTTATTTATTTGTGTATGATACGCACTCGTGTGTTATATGCACCCTTAGTTATGGGCAATTAAATTCTTGAAAAATATATCTGTCGTATGTAAACATTTCAAGCTGATACCATAAACCACGAAAATTACGATCTTTCAACTCAAAATATTCTAATAAGCGCCCCCTATTTCTAATTTTGAGAGCGCCCTGGGTGCTTATTACGTTGAATACGGTAGTTGAAATTGTACAATGGATGTTTAGCTAAGATGTTCTTGATTCGGAAAGGGTTTTGTCGCTGATATTTTGCATTTCTAATTTGGGCAATATAATTTTTCATGAACTGAAACAGGTTTATTTAATCAGCTACAATAGCTGGTCCATGATTAAGTCTTGAAAAGGAAAGGTCAATAATATTATCCCCCGGTGCACTACCTTTCGAAATAATACTTCAAACTAAAGAAGATTTTTAATTAATTTTGACCATATGCCTTTGTGCCCCTGGCAATGTCCCTCCTGCACCATCATTCAAGCAGCATGAACTTTTCTCATTACCAAGCCTCATGTTTCTGTGTCTATGATTGATGAAGATGCAGCAACAAACACCGTGGCTCTAATCTGTCAATAGACGTAGACGTCATTTATTCACAGTGAGGTGGCAGTAAAATAAAATTATTTTTTGAAAGAAAACATTATTTGTCATTTTGTAAAATTGATGTATATATTCAAAACATTTGTGTGTAATGGCTGTCATTTTCAAAAATGACATTTTTGCCATACTTCTGCTATTTCTTCATATATTACATTGAAACATATGGTATTTTGTTGTTTAAATTTTTAGCCCTATTAACATTTTACCTTCACAAGGATTTGGGTGGGAATCAGATATCCTTTGTTTCAAGCATGTCAGCTGCAACAAAATATTTTACATTTCTTTACAAAAATATGAACCATTTGAAAAGTAGTCATGAAAGATTTCAAGTGTTTAGAAAATGTTTAACTTGATACCAGAAAATGGGCACGTGTTCACATTCCATAAGTATTTGGTTTTTAAGGTTTGTAGTATGCTCAGTGCTACACACATGGCTGCTAAAGCAAACAGACTTTTTCTAAATGTACACTTGCAGAAAGAGAGGTGATACCCATGAAATCTATAAGTAGTAGAGTTGCCTCCCTTTGTCGTGCCATGCATTGCTGATCATGTGTTCAGATGCCATATTTGTCCTGATTACGATCCTTGATTTGTCAACTGTGTATGCATGTTCATGGGTTTTCCCAACTCCCTGTTCATTCATAGTAATGCATACAGAGAATGCAAATATACTCTTACAAGCATATAATACAAACTGCCTCATGGTCTACAAAGACCGCCTCAGTGGTCTAGCGGTAGAGCGTGGGCAGAGAGCGAAAGGTCCAGTGTTCGATCCCCGTCCGCGTCATACCAAAAGATGTTAAAAGATGGTACTTGTTGTTACCCTGTCTGGCACTCGGCATTAAGGGTCTAAAACAAGGACTGGTCGGCTCGGAGTCAGTATACTGTGTCTGAGTGGGGTATTCATGTTAAACTGCGGCACGGTATCTCAGTGAGCTAGCACTATAAATCAGCATCAGTCCGGACTAGTACAAGCACCCACAAAAACACACACACATGAACGTCGCTAGATAAGTGAAATAATCTTGGACGCGACATTAAACACCATTTCACCTCAACTCACCTCACCTCACCTCAACCTCACCTCACCTCACCTCACCTCACCTCATGGTCTACATCTTTCCGAGGCAAGGGAGTTAACTGACTCCAAAAGTCCAGTTTCCACCCTTGCCGAACTAGGCTGGAAATTCTGGGCTCGATCATAGGGCCCCCAGTGGCTATTACGAGTTATGTCCCATCTATGTCCCTCCCATTGACCAATCAGATTCCATCTCTAAAATAACTTGCATTTTCTCCAAACACATTGGTGGTGCCCATTCAAGATGATCTGATTGATAATCAATATCTATATTGGTGGTACACATGCTTTGCAAATCCTGCAGTCGACTGAAATCTGCAAGTTGAAATTCACGTTTACGAATAGGATGTCTAGTTTGTTACTCGATTTTGATTGGACTTTGCATAGACTCGTTAGTCCAGCCAAAATGTAACTGGAATTCCGGCCTAGTTCGGCAAGGGTGGAAACTGGACTTTTATAGTCAGTTAACTCCCTTGCCTCGGGAAAATGTGTGGCCTAGTGGATAGAGCATCTGCTCAAAGACAGACAGACAGAATTTATTAAAGTTTCCCCCTATTAAAAATACAGTATTATAGATATACAACATATAAGAGGTTGGGCCACTTATTATATGGTATTATGCACGCACTCACACACAAAATAAATATTATATACAATTATATATGATAGATTAACTTTTTTGTAAACACATTATGTCAGGTTTTGGCAGTCCAAGTGCATAAAACGTTGCAAGATCATATAAAGGCAGTTTTGTATATCACAAAGTTCATCAAAACCTTGGTTCACATGACAGCATTCTGGTATAAAAGTTTAAAACACTTATCTTCTTCAAACGAAGGTTGGTGGTTTGATCCCTGGCTACGTCATACGAAAAGACTTTAAAAGATGTTACTTGTAGTTGCCCTGCCTGGTACTCCGCATTAAAATAAAACAAGTAGTCAGTCGGCTTGGAGTCAGTATACTGTATCTGAGTAAAGTATCCATGTTAAAATTTAGCATAGTATTTCAGTGCGCTAGCACTATAAAACCACCTTTTGTCCATTACGTCACTCATTTAATACAGTATGAAATATCAGTTGGATAATAAATGCACGTTTGAAAACTTATACGGGGGTGAGGTGAAATGGGATTAAATGTTGCTTTCAAAGTTATAAATACTGAACAATAATATCAGGGATCATGAAATATTTTTAGATTCCATACACATTTAAAGAAACTTAGCTTCACTACCAAAAAATATTCTCCAAAATATTTATGATCACTAAGTATTTTGTTCAGTATAGCAATGTTCTAAACTAAGAACAAACAAGCGCCCACAAATGCTGGCAGAATCACGTACAAATATCTTGACATCAATCACTAACAAATGGGTCATGCATCCTTGACCGCCTTTAAACAGATGTGTTATATAGCATAAGTGACATTGAAAGACGCCTGATGAGTTATATGTTACTTGTGACATTGGAGCAAGGCAGATGGTTAAAGGCACTGACACAGTAGCCGAGGCTATGACATTTCCTTGAGTCTTGATACTTCTCCCCTAATTGCAGAAACGACTCTTTCAAATGTTTTTATTCCTCGGATGAGTATGAAATTGACCTGATGCTGTTCCATGACATTTTCTGATGCTATGAGTGATCGTTAGATTGCTTACTATTTTGTTTTGTAAATGATACGTTGAAGCTGTTCTTTCCTTGAGATGTGATCGTGTCAAATGAACAAACAGCATTGTTGCTTTCTCTGTGCTAGACAAATACCGGTATGTCTTTGGTACATTGTCTTCTGAACCATTTATCACTTTATTACATGTTCTATGTTCAAGCAGGCAGCAACTGTAATATGAACTGTATTATTATCTTCCCCCAGCGCCCCCCCACCCCCCACCCCCATGAAGGAATGGGTGCTGTCCTTCCGTCCGTCCGTCATGTTTCCTTTCCGGAGCAAAACTAAAAAGAAACCATGAAAGATATCTTAATCAAACTTGGCACATAGATAGGTCTAGTGGTGAACTGGTGCCTTTTGATAGTTTGGGATTTTGGGAAAATTTAATTTTTGAGTTTCCATTGCAGTGACTTTGACTTGACTGAAAATGGCGGTAGTGCTCATTTCTGGAGCAAATCTGGAAAACTGTACAATATTTCTTCACCAAACTTGGCACATAGATAGGTCTTGTGGTAAACTGGTGCCTTTTGATAGATTGGGATTTTTAAAAAAAATTGTTTTCGACTTTCCATAGCAACTGCTTTGGCTCAAACTGAAAATGGCGATAATGCTCGTTTCTGGAAAACTGTACAATATTTCTTGCCTTGCACACAACTGGACATGTCATATTGGCAAGGGATATGAGTATTTCATGCTTGTTTCATATGTAACATGTAAGAGAGCAGCTGTAGTATATCTGTATTATTCCATCTTCAGTATGTATGACAGCAGCTGTAATATAACTGTATTATTCCATCTTCAACATGTATGACAACAGCTGTAATATAACTATTATTCCATCTTCAACATGTATGACAACAGCTGTAATATAACTGTATTATTCCATCTTCAACATGTATGACAGCAGCTGTAATATAACTGTATTATTCCATCTTCAGTATGTATGACAGCAGCTGTAATATAACTATTATTCCATCTTCAACATGTATGACAGCAGCTGTAATATGACTGTATTATTCCATCTTCAACATGTATGACAGCAGCTGTAATATAACTGTATTATTCCATCTTCAACATGTATGACAGCAGCTGTAATATAACTGTATTATTCCATCTTCAGTATGTATGACAGCAGCTGTAATATGACTGTATTATTCCATCTTCAACATGTATGACAGCAGCTGTAATATAACTGTATTATTCCATCTTCAACATGTATGACAGCAGCTGTAATATAACTGTATTATTCCATCTTCAGTATGTATGACAGCAGCTGTAATATAACTGTATTATTCCATCTTCAACATGTATGACAGCAGCTGTAATATGACTGTATTATTCCATCTTCAACATGTATGACAGCAGCTGTAATATAACTGTATTATTCCATCTTCAACATGTATGACAGCAGCTGTAATATAACTGTATTATTCCATCTTCAGTATGTATGACAGCAGCTGTAATATAACTGTATTATTCCATCTTCAACATGTATGACAGCAGCTGTAATATAACTGTATTATTCCATATTCAGTATGTATGACAGCAGCTGTAATATAACTATTATTCCATCTTCCAGTATGTATGACAGCAGCTGCGATGAAGACAATGACTCACAAGATATGTATTCCAGTAGTGATGCTGGGAGCTCACGGAAATATCAGAGGTAACCCTTAGACTCTTGATCCTGGATCTGTTCCTACCCCCCTTGCTCCTTCACCCACCCACCTGCCCAAAACGCCCATCTGCCCATCCGCCGATCCACCCACCCACCCATGAAACTTTGGGTTCCTGGTATAAGTGATACAACAATTGGCATTAACCATTATCTTGACAATGATGCCATTCACATTTTATTATTAAGGAGAGGACTGATTGGATTTCAATTTTTTTATTTTTTTTTATTTCTGTGTATTGTTAAAGTACATGTACTAGTACTTTATCTAACATAAACATCTTCTTTAGAAATTTTCTAATTCTTTGTTCTATTTTCTGTGATTTTCTTTAATGAAAAAGTTATAAGATAGCATATACTTGGACAATGTTGCCATTTAATATTTATGAATAACTAGCATAAAGAGTTTCTAAAGTATGTCCACATGTTGGATATTTTTCTTTATGAGGGTCAAGTCTTGGATTGTAATGGGGGCATGGGTGGCCAAGTCGTCGAAGGTGCAGCAATTCGCTGTTCAGAGTTGCATCCCTTAGGTGTGCCAGGAGCCTTAATGATCATTGGTTCGAATCTCAGAATCACCCCAAATCTATTTCTAGGTTTGAAAACACTTATAATACCATACCCATGTTTGTTGTAAACATCTAAAACCTGCTTTCCTCCCACATCAAGCTGACACGACGTGCCATAACTGAAATACTGTTTAACTCACAATTTAACTTAAGTTCCATCTCACGATTATTCCACACATATTTCATTTCATAGGCCCACCGCGCCCTATTGAAAAGCAGCTGGAAAAGAAAATTTAAATATAATTTTTTTAAATTTTATTATGTCTCCCACTAGTAATATAGCCCCTCTAATGCGCTATTATAAGGGTAGCGCTATTTTTCAGGGCATTATCATTTGCAGAAGCCTGAGGTCTTCCATTAACGGCCTAACGAAGGAGGGCAGTTGAAAAGACCGAGGGCTTCTGCAAATGATAATGCCCTGAAAAATAGCGTCACCGTTATTATAGCTAAAATGGATTTGTTATCAAATAAAAAGAAACAACAATACCAGTTTTGAAACATTTACTGCAATCAACACGAATGTCACTGACCCACTTTTACAAATATGGAAACGTCATGGAACAAACCAGATGACTTCACTATTAAACGTGATGTCGCCTATCCCTATCCCTATGATGTCACCTAACAATGGGCGTGATAATGGCTCGTCGTCAAGCAATATGAGGGCATTATCAAGTTACAGTGGCCCGCTGATTTCTGATAACATGAGGGCGGTTTAGTGATAATTCTATCCATTTTAGCTATAGAAAATGTTGGATATGAATTCCATGTCTACAGTGATCCAGCTGCAGTTTTAACTCCATGACAGAATGCCATTTATATAAATAAATATATGGTTGACATTGCTATTTATTTTTATTATCCCCCGCCCAACAAAGTTGGCGGGGGATATAGAAACGGGCTCCGTCCGTCCGTCTTCTTTTTTTAACAATTTCCATGACAAGTTCCACCTTGGTTAAAAAAGGTTAGGGTTTGTTTAGATTTAATTATGTCATAAATTCTGCAACAGGGGCGGGGGATATAGCCACGTTAGTGGCAAACTCTTGTTTAAATTTCGACCAACCTTGAGTGGAAAAGCTGAAATAAATTCGTGAAACATTAAATTAAGAAAGAGTGGCCTTAACATGGGAAGGTGCAGAGTGAAACTTTTCGATCCAACATTTCTGGTAAAATTCATATTTCATTCACTCACGAACTTAACATTTCAGACAAAACCACAGCGAGATTGAGAAACGTCGACGTGATAAGATGAACTCGTATATTACCGAGCTGTCATCCATGATCCCCATGTGCAGCGCCATGAACCGCAAGCTGGACAAGCTCACCGTACTTCGGATGGCAGTCCAGCACATGAAGTCACTGCGCGGTGAGGACGGAAAATTGATGTTTTTGTTTTCCTGCTGTATGCTACATTATTCACGACGTCTCTAGGCTACAGTTACTGTAGTAAAGGGAGTCATGTTGTATGAAGGAGGTAAACTTCTACAGTACTACAGTGACACTTTTGCCACACACTGCCTCCGTGGCCTAGTGGTGGAGCGTCTGCCCGGAGAGTGGAAGGTCAGAAGTTCGATCCCCCTGTGTCGTATAAAAAAACGTGAAGAAATGGTACTTGTTGTTACCCTGCCTTGAGCTCGGCATTAAGGGGCTAAAACAAGGACTGAGTGTGTCTGAGTGGGGTATTCATGTTAACTGCGGCATGGCATCTCAGTGGGCTAGCATTAAATACAAGCAGACACACACACACACACACACACACACACACACACACACACACACACACACACACACACACACACACAGTGTCAGTGCAACGTTAAACCCAAATACACCACCACCAGCAATGATTATTGCTCATGCTATCAACCAGTGGTTTGCCTACTTCGTACAACTGGAACAATTTTCGGCTTGAGAGCAAATTCTATGAAAAACTTCACCTGATGACGTCAATGGCATGACTTATTTATCAAGAATAGGTGACATTTACTTATATGCACTAAAAGGTGTTACAAGCTGTCACGATATAGCTGGAGTGTTAGCTGCGTTTGTTCATTGTTCGAAGATAATGATAGGACGGTTATAGCAGGAACAGATACCATGGCGTTTCTGGTGAGTCAAGTAGTGCGTGGCTACTAATTCCAATCTGGGATGCCACCTTGTTATGCTTGACAGTAAGCTACTTAATGTTACTATGTTGGGTTGGATCGAGAGACTAAGCTGCACTGATTAGATCAATTTAACTTCAGTTTCAGTCGTTACATGTAACATGCAAGTTACACTGACCCATGCCTGGAATTGGGGCTCAGTGTTGCAATGGAACTGATTGCAATTGATTTGGCATCGTATCTCAATTGCGTGGATCGATGCTCATGATGTCAATCACTGGATTGTCAGGTCCAGTCCTGATTTTTTGACACACACTGTCATGTTGCAGTAATATCGCTGAATGCAAAAACTCGTAATGGGCTTGGAGGCACAGGTGGCCCAGTGGTCTCAATTCCCTGTGTAGAGTTGCGTCCCGTGGACACACCAGATCGTGGGTTCGAATCCAAGTCCGCCCCAATGATGTTTCTAGGTTTGTCAGCAGCATCCCCGTGCTCATGGGTTTCACCAAAATTGTAACCGTCTGAGACCTGCATCACATTGGCTTTGCTCCCACATTAAGCTCACACGCCGTGATTTAACTGGAATATTTTTCAAAGCGACGTTAACGCAATTCACTCACTTATACTGGGCTGTCACCTTGGACTTCCCACATGATGTTGACACATTACATGTTTTAAAGTTGTGTAAAACCCAACCCACTCATTAACCATTAGTTATAATACCAGACTCCCAAGTCTCCAAAAAAGTAAAAAACATTCAATTTACAAAACATAAATAATTTTAAAAATAGAAGTTGTAGCGATTGTTTCAACATGTTTGATGTTAGGTAAGGATAAGATATAGGGATGTTATTTCACTGAAACGTGACATGGATTTTTTATTTTGAAGAAGATTTGCAACACAAGTAATTAATCAACATCATCTGGAAAACTCTTACAAACTGCTCCTTTTATAAATATTCATATCAACCAAATATCACATAAATCATTTTTTTATGGAAGCAACCGCTGATATAATGTGTTTATGTAACAAACGTGTCAAGGATGTTCCATCACGAAGCCGTTACGCAACTACACCGCCATGAAGATGTAACCTTGGGATTGTTATACAAACATTCTGATTATTCCATGGCCTCTTGGGATACAATGAAAGTAGCAGTTTAAAGTATTTTATATACATGCAGTGTGGCAGTCTTGTTCATTTAAAAAAACAAATGTCGTGACAAGATGAATTAGCAAGAGACTTTTTGTCATGAGGATGATTTTCCAAGTGACGATGGTTCCAGAACCAAAGTAATGATTTCGAGTCCTTGTAGAGTTAGTCAAATAGCAAAATGCTAGCAAGGGTACAAACTTGCTTGATATCATAACCAGGGTTTGGAAGCTCTTATGACTAGTATAAGTTTAAACAATTGGAAAATTATATATTTTACAAAATTGTGAAACCTATATTATGTATGATGATTCATTAATCAAGTTTATCAAATGTTACATGATATGAATGATAAACATAAACAGATATGAAAGTATTTAGTATAGGTTACAATTTATTGTTTGTTCCTTTTATGAGTGTTTATGATGTGAAGGAAATGTACACTTGGAATGAGATATACTACTCAAAAAAGGTTAAGCACACCCGATTCTTTCATATTACTTTAATTAATCTATCATGATTAACTGTTGTAATATGAAAGAATAGGTTTAGATCTGCCAAAGTAAACCAGCAGAAAGCTACCAAACAATGGAATATGCACATACTTTAAACAGAAAAAGCTACACAAATTATAAGACAAGAAAAGCAAGACGCAATCCCCATTTTCACTTTGAATTCATGTCCGTCTTCTATACTATGTGACAAAGATGAGCAGTGGTCTTAACACTACTATTTCACAATTCGTAGTTGTGTCCCTTTACTGTGGCAGGATTCATTGATCCTTGGGTTTAGTCCTGTATTTGTACCAATTGTCATCTGTTGGTATCACCAAAGTTGTAAACCTCTGTAGGCTGCATAACTTGGGGTTTCCCCTCAAATTTACTGTGATATGAAATACTGTTTAAAAGCTAGTGACCAATATATCTAACTCACTCACTCACTCACTCTAATAAGCAGTGACCAATATATCTAACTCACTCACTCACTCACTCTAATAAGCAGTGACCAATATATCTAACTCACTCACTATAAAAATAAGCAGTGTCCAATATATCTAACTCACTCACTCACTCCAATAAGCATTGTCCAATATATCTAACTAACTCACTCACTCTAATAAGCAGTGACCAATATATCTAACTAACTCACTCACTCTAATAAGCAGTGACCAATATATCTAACTCACTCACTCACTCTAATAAGCAGTGTCCAATATATCTAACTAACTCACTCACTCTAATAAGCAGTGATCAATATATCTAACTAACTCACTCACTCTAATAAGCATTGTCCAATATATCTAACTAACTCACTCACTCTAATAAGCAGTGACCAATATATCTAACTAACTCACTCACTCTAATAAGCAGTGACCAATATATCTAACTCACTCACTCACTCTAATAAGCAGTGTCCAATATATCTAACTAACTCACTCACTCTAATAAGCAGTGATCAATATATCTAACTAACTCACTCACTCTAATAAGCATTGTCCAATATATCTAACTAACTCACTCACTCTAATAAGCAGTGACCAATATATCTAACTCACTCACTCACTCTAATAAGCAGTGTCCAATATATCTAACTAACTCACTCACTCTAATAAGCAGTGACCAATATATCTAACTAACTCACTCACTCCAATAAGCAGTGTCAAATATATCTAACTCACTCTAATAATCAGTGACCAATATATATAGCTAACTCACTCACTCTAATAATCAGGTGTTTTTGTTTTTCAGGCTCAAATGATATGTACTCTGAAGTGAGCCTCAAGCCCTCCTTCATCTCTGACAACGAACTGAAGCATCTCATACTGAAGGTAATAACAAGCTGGGAAGAAACTAGTTGTGTCTCAGTTGCAGACAGCACCGGCTGAGTTGTGTCCCAGTTGCAGATAGCACAGGCTGAATTGTGTCTCAGTTGCAGACAGCACAGGCTGAGTTGTGTCTCAGTTGCAGACAGCACAGGCTGAGTTGTGTCTCAGTTGCAGACAGCACAGGCTGAGTTGTGTCTCAGTTGCAGACAGCACAGGCTGAGTTGTGTCTCAGTTGCAGACAGCACAGGCTGAGTTGTGTCTCAGTTGCAGACAGCACAGGCTGAGTTGTGTCTCAGATGCAGACAGCACAGGCTGAGTTGTGTCTCAGATGCAGATAGCACAGGCTGAGTTGTGTCTCAGTTGCAGACAGCACAGGCTGAGTTGTGTCTCAGATGCAGACAGCACAGGCTGAGTTGTGTCTCAGATGCAGATAGCACAGGCTGAGTTGTGTCTCAGTTGCAGACAGCACAGGCTGAGTTGTGTCTCAGTTGCAGATAGCACAGGCTGAGTTGTGTCTCAGTTGCAGACAGTGCAGGCTGAGTTGTGTCTCAGTTGCAGACAGCACAGTCTCGGCATATATTTTAAAATATACTTTAATATTTGCAAAATGTTTGGAAGAATGGTTCATAATATAAGAACAAATTGAGTATGTTTCATAATGGTTAGGGAAATAATGCCTTGGGAAGCTGCAGTTTCCCATGCGCAGTGATTGCTTGTGATATTAAATAACTGACTGACCAATCCCAAATGTCATCTATCAGAGATTATTTGTGGAGGGATTTGCGTCTGAATACCAATTACTGACACTAAGTAATTACTTTTGCTTTGAACCAGTTATCCTAATCATTTTAAAGGAAATTCGCCAAGCTTTCTGTCAGTGACTAGACCATTTATACAAAATGGGCAAGAGGGTTTCCAGAAAGGGCCATTCCATTTATTTTATACTCTTGGGGGAAATGAGATTTTTCTCTGTAAGATACCTTGAACACGGAAACTGTATGAAACATATTTTTTCGCCATTATTTTTTTGTTTTGAAGAACATAACATACATGATAAGTATTCCTGAATTTGTTTTTGTATTTTTAATTTTGCAGGTGGCGGAAGGGTTCCTGTTTGTGATAGGTTGTGATCGAGGGAGACTCTTGTATGTGTCAGAGTCTGTCAAAGATGTTCTCAACTATTCACAAGTAAGTGGCCATGTTTCTTGTGCTGCCTGACAAACTGGATTTATCTGGTTAGGGTTGTGTTTGGGTTCGGGATTGAGGTTTAGGTGAGGGGGTTGAGTTGGGGTTGGGGTTTTGGATTCAGTTAGGGTTGGGGTTAGGGGCTTGGGTTGGGGTTAGGGGATGTGGTTGAGCTGGGGTTGGGGTTTTGGATTCAGTTAGGGTTGGGGTTAGGGGCTTGGGTTGGGGTTAGGGGATGTCGTTGAGCTGGGGTTGGGGTTTTGGATTCAGTTAGGGTTGGGGTTAGGGGCTTGGGTTGGGGTTAGGGGATGTGGTTGAGCTGGGGTTGGGGTTTTGGATTCAGTTAGGGTTGGGGTTAGGGGCTTGGGTTGGGGTTAGGGGATGTGGTTGAGCTGGGGCTGGGGTTTTGGATTCAGTTAGGGTTGGGGTTGGGGTTTTGAGATTGAGTTGAGTTTGGGCTTAACCTATTTGTTTATTGAGCCGAAAATGTTAACCCAGTGAAATTATAGATATCTATGGAGCATTCTTGAAAAATATGATTGTACAGATTTAGTAGATGCACAGATGTCAGATCTGATATGTAACTGAATCATTACTGTGATAACCAACTGTGATGGTGATTCAATATTGATTCAATATTGATATAAACTACATGCATTACAAAACAATGGGACCTGTGAATATTCCGGCTTAGCATGAGTCCCCAGCAACCTATGCTGGTTGTCAGAGTCGACCAACTGGACTGGGTGATCAGGCCTGCTGACTTGCTTGACGGCATGTTGTTATACCAGACAGCAGGGATTGGTGCTCACAATATCGATCACTGTTCTTTTTGGCCTAGATTTGATAACTTTTTGGACGCCATCATATGGCTGGATTATTGCTGAGTGCTACATTATACAACAAAGAAACAAACATGTATTATTGTGGACTACAAGTGAAACCGTAAATGTGTGAAATAGGAGATCGTCTATTTCTGACCACCTGCAAGCATTAGTCTTGAGTTTAGACTGCTCAGAGAACTCTATACAGTTGATATTTTAGGCCTTGTTTATTGCAGAAGCATCTAGATGTAAATTATCTTTTGAGGACAGGGATGATGTAGGTTCATCATGTATACTCAAAGTTTACATCAGCTCTGATCAGGTTCTATTTATAAAACTATCATTTCATAGAACCGTGTTATGTAACTTAATCTCCTCTCAAATTATTTTTGTAAGATGTGAAGTGGTTTGTTTGTTTTTTAATGCCACACTCAATAACATTCCAACTGTATGATGGTGGTCTGAAATTTATCAAGTCTGGGCCAGATATTCCAGTGATTGTTACATGAGCATTGGTTCACACAATTGGGATATGATGACATGCTAGACCACCTGATCCATTTAGTCATCTCTTATAACAGGCATAGGTTGCGGGGGCCTATGTCCTTACCCAGAATCCAACTGATGTTTGATTGTGCTGCAGATTGACCAAGAGAGCTAACTAAAGATTTCGAAATTGTTTTATTTGAAATTTCAGTTCGAAATCTGCACATCTGTTCCTTATGCACATTAAGGATGAATATGTACTCATAATCATCATAATTAGGCATGTTCAGGCGCTCAGTATGTGTTTATGATCAAAGTTACTTTCACCTATGCATGAGCATGGCATGGTTTTGTCCATCTTCCCGATGCAAGGGAGTTAACGGACTATAAAAGTCAAGTTTCCACCCTTGCCAAACTAGGCTGGTATTATAGAGTTACATTTTGGCTGGACTTACAAGTCTATGCATAGTCCAATCAAAATCATGCAACGAAATCCGGTTCGTAAACTGTCGTGGGGATTTCAGATTGCAGGATTTTAAAAGCATGTGCACCGCCAACTCGTTGTCAACAGATATTCCTTTTCATGTTTTTAATCAAGGTGCACGTTCTATCACAATATAGATCTTGATTATCGATCAGATCTTCTTGACAGGGCGCCGCCATTTTCATTGAAACAAATGCAAGTGATGGAATCTGATTGGTCCATAGGAGAGACTTAAAAGGGCCATAACTCGTAATAACCCCTGGTGGCGCTACAATTGAGCCAAGGAATTCCAGCCTAGTTCGGCAAGGGTGGAAACTGGACTTTTAAAGTCAGTTAACACTCTTGCCTAGGGAAGATGGGTTTTGTCATATCAAGACAAGTCTAGCATCCTTGAATGCAAATCATCAAATCTTGATTCAGATCATCCAAAACATGAAAACAATGTCAGTAAAGGAAAAGCCTAGACATGGGTAAATCATAAGTAAGTACAGTAGTGTATGACAAGTAGTCTTTGTTTCCCAGGGCCCACCAAACACAACAGACCATGGGGCTGATCACGCCACCACAATCACCCCAGGAAACATGGATGTTCGTTTTCCTGTTTTTTCAGTCCTCGCGCGCAATGCTTCATTTTCGAAAGGAAATATCCTGTATACATGGCAAACGTTTAGGGACTTCGCAAAGATCCATCTAAACAGTGACCTGAGAGCCTTTGTTTGCCAAACCATACCCTGTACTTGTGGTTAAAGAGTGTTACCAGTCAACACCATGTTTGCAACAAGCTTTACCTAATCAATGCTATATTTGAACTGGTCGGGCGGTGTCTCTCGAGGTCACCGTTGTATCGACTATAATGGATATCTCACTTGCGTGCTTCCCTCTTGACAGGCAGATAGTCTTGACCCACTTTTAACAAATGATTCAATTTCAAATTTGAATTAAATTTCACACTGGCAACTTTGAAGGTGAGGTAAATCTATTAGTTGCCAGGACAATATTACCAAGTGTCAACTTTTCCACAAAGAGACTGGTAATATGTTTCGTGCAAATTGGATGTTATAATGTTCAGAAATGTTTGTATTTGCTAAATGTTCATGAATAGTTGGATTGAGGCCTAACAGATCCTGGTTTTCAAATATAAGCTGATCCATATCAATTTTTGGCATGTTTCAGATAAATATATTTTTCCCTGGTCGTATTTTTGTTTATAATCTAGGTAAGATATAGTTGAGATTTGTTTTTTTGTACTTTTGATAAGCAAGGACAAACTGTGAGGTGGATGAAACACAAAAAGATTGTTAATTGGAATCAAGTGTTTTTCAACCTAAATGACGGATTTCTCAAGAAAAATATATTTAAGCATTTGTTTTTCTTGAAATGTGAGAAAGACTTTCTTGTCTGATGATGAGCGCAGTATTTAGCATTAGTATTTAGGAATACACTAAGGCCAATGTTGAAATGTCAAGAATGACTATGGATGATGAGTCAGTATGTATATATATAGTTTTATTGTACAAGAATGGTTCTGACATTTGTTGAATGTCTGTAATCCAATGATGGATTAGTTCTGTACTCTGAGTCAATAACATCAAGGATTTAGACACAATCACGAACATGGTACAGTTGCTAATGTGGAAATGGCATGTAGCTGTTACACTCATTATTGTGTCAAACTGTCTTGTCGGAATGACAGATTCTTGTTAGTTACTACGAGCTATATAGAAATAGCTATGGGATTTTGGCACTATGACTAAAATAATCCCCTTGTAAAGTGTTGCATTGATACACACTTGGCTTTTTATTTTTCATGAATTAAGTTACAGACAGACATATTGGCAGACATCTTTATTGGGTCAGAGAGTATTTAACAGATATCTAAGGGACCGACCGATTTTTTATGGAGGCTAGATATTTTTTCAGCTACAGCTGTTAAAGCAGATATCTATTAAATTAAGACTATGAGCCTAAATATATATATTTTTCAAACCACCTTGAAAAAATGTAATTTTTGTGGCAACCATTTTTTTTTAACAATCTGAAAAATAATTATTTTTTCAAACATATTCTGGGACAATTTTTTTCTTTTTCGATGAAACCCCAAATAAATTGGATCAGTTGGATTTGGTTGTGACTAGCCTGTCATTGAACTCCCATGGTGAGGGCATTGCTATAAAATCAGCTTCTGATTTGTCTGACCTGGATTCTGTTTACATTGGGGACATCATGTGACTTTAATATTGCTGACTGCAGTGTTTAACAACATTCACTCACTCATACATGTATTTCCACCTACCATTCCTCCTGACCGATCTGGGGTGGTGGGGTAGGCTATGTGGTAAAAGCATTCACTCCTCACGCCGAAGACCACATGGGTAAAATGTGTGAGCCTAATTCTTGTGTCCCCTGCCGTGATATTCAGGTACGCAGCAGATTTTCCCCAAACAAGAGGAAAACTCTAGGGGGGTCTTGAGGCAGGTCCCCTCCCCTGAAATTTTTTAAACATTTGAATTAATTTACTGCAGTTTGGACAACATTCACACCAAGAAATGTAATAAGTCAGTGGCAAAAGTCTATGTCAAATAAACAAAGATGGCGGATGCAGTACAATTTCGAGGTTAAATCAGTACTTTTAAAAAATCGGGCATAGCTAACTTACCTTGTACTTACTTACCTTTTATTAAAAAAAACACAACAACTTTCCAAACATAAGACATTAATGCAACATATATCCCTGTGTTATGGGTTTTCGGACGCTGAAGAAACATTCATAGTTTTCTCGCTAATAACATGAACAACTGTATGATGCTGAAAGCTCTGATCCAAAACAGGACAATCCACGACAGTTGTCCGGAATCACGATAATATTTTTCTGATACTTTTTTAAGATCTGTTTCTGTAAGATCTATTTTTACGCGGAAGATGATTTTTTATTAGGCCTACTGTTTTATAAAACGCTATTTTCCGCGTTTCCCCAGAGATTTCCCATCCCTGGATATTGCTGGAATAGCAGCGTAAAGCAGCGTAAAATCATATTCACTCATTCATTCACCATCCTCTGGAGCAATGTCCTTGTGACTTTACTTATAATCATTTTGACTGGTAACACATTTTGCCCCATTTAAGAGCTCAATTTGCACATCATGTTTTAAATGGTTAATAGTATTTTAAAATTAACTGTCAATCGATACTAGTGATGGTGTGTGATCTCATAGAATTATTAGAAAAAATGTTTCAACTCGCCCATGGATGTATTGTCTTCAGGTCATAGATAATTGTGGTACATTAATAATTCAATCTATCATTACAATCTAATAGCAGGGGCGGTCGGGTAGCCTAGTGATAAAAGCGTTCGCTCGTCACGCCGAAGACCTGGGTTCGATTCCCGACATGGGTACAATGTGTGAAGCCTATTTCTGGTGTCCCCCGCCGTGATATTGCTGGAATATTGCTAAAAGCGGCGTAAAACCATATTCACTCACTCACTCTAATAGCAACCATCAGTAAGACTGAAAACTAAGATGGAATTTCTTTGTTTCAGTCTGAACTTATTGGCCAGAGCTTGTTTGACATCCTCCATCCAAAGGACATCGCCAAGGTGAAGGAGCAGCTGTCAGCCTCCGACTTGACACCTCGAGAGAGATTTATTGATGCTAAAAGTAAGTAAAATAACCTCTCATACACAACATTTTATTGGGTCAAAAAACACTGGAAAATGTGATCCAATCTTGTCTGGCAACTCATGTTTTATGCCCCTTGAATAGCAATCATGCTCGTCCAAATTATCAAACATGCAGAATTGATGGTTCCAGCCAAAAGTTTGTATCTGCTGGCATCTGACATAACAATGCAATGACGGTAGTGTGATGTGGAGTTCTTTAGAGAACACATGATACAAATAAAAAGGTTCCTGTTCAGTTTTATGTTTATAATTTTCAATTGATTTGAATTTTCACCCAAACCATCTTTGAATCGCATGATTCCATGGCTGTGTAAATATGTTGGCACATTTTAGCTTGTATAAGCCCATGTTGATTTGTATTGTAACGGAATATCGTTCAGATGGATGGAAATGGTGAACAATTAACAGTAATTCGTTATTGTTATCTGAATTCTGAATGTCATTTACAAATACATTAGCTGAAGAGGTTTAGCTTTGTATTGACATTTTGTTTAGCTGAACATGAGAACATTGTCTATCTTAATATTTGTAAGAAAATTGTGCAGCTTGATAGGAGTGGGTGGGTTGAGTTTAATGCCGCTTTTAACAGTATTCCAGTCATATCGCGGCGTGTCAGCTTAATGTAGGAGGAAAGCCAGAAGGGATGCAGGTCTCAGACGTTTACCATTTTGGTGAAACCCACGAGAATGGGTTTGGTGCTGACAAATCTAGAAACATAATCGAACCCACAATCATAGGTTTCTGGCGTGCCCAAGGGACGCAACTCTGCACAGCCAATCGTGGCCTTAGACGACTCGGCCACCCGTGCCCTCAGCTTGATAGGAGGACTGTTTAAACACTTGGTTTTGTGAATCAGTTTAATGTCAAGACACCAGGCAGTTTCATAAAAGACTTCAAAACTTTGTTAATCTTAGGGATTGACCGTTTTATATTCGTGGGGTGCCAGGGATTTTTCTTTGAGAATGAAAAAGGAAATTCTCTGGCAGGAAGAGCCGTACAATTTTTGAGAGCCTCCAATACATTATCTTCAGAACCCCCATCATGTCCTTTGAAGTGTGCCTGAGCTTCTTCCTTTGTATTGATTTTAGTTTTAAGCTGTCTTGTTAAATTAACAGGAGTTTGGGGGTTACCCCCCACAACAAGTCCTTTTACTTAAAGGTTTTTTAAGTTAAAATAAAGCCATCATTATAGCTGGGATATTGCGGGGTGTGGCTTATAACAACAAACAAACTAATTTGTAACTAAATGTCATTTCCAGGTACCCAAGTTAATGAAATATGCGCCATGTTTGTTGAAATGTGGCCCCAATGCATGTAACTGACGAAATGGCTGCATGACACTGTTGACCTTCAATCGACCTTCGAGTATTGTTTCAATGTCTGATTCTCGCTGTTAATGAATTGCTTTTGTGTTCAATTTGGTGTTTTAATCCTATTTAGCCATACAAATGCAAGCGGGGCATTTTTTCTGCTTAATTTGAGTTTTATACCCCTAGATTACACATGGCAATGCTGTTGTGTGCCCCTGTACTTGAAGCATCAAACAAATATGGCCGACATCCAGTGTGATGTATTGAACTCCTTGTTCATCCTTTCTTTATTTCATATCACAAGTCCTAGCCCATATTATAAATATTGTTTACTTTGATATTAATAAATACTGTCTTAAAATATGTGCTATATTATGATTGTAATGATTGAATTGCGCCTTGCATTCTTCATTGGACAACATCTCAACCCTTCTAAATATGCATATGTGTTGAAAAAATGTTTGACTTTGCAGGCATTTTCTCACCAAACAGGAATATTTGGTTTGATGTTTGACCAGTGCAGTGACTTGGTGGCAACACTCACACAGCTTGGTGAACCAGCTGAGCACATATCACCACTGCCTGTTACACATGTTACACCTGTTACAGACGAACTGTTTGATTTTGGATGGGATGGGTGACTCGGGTACTCGGGATGGGTAGGTCCTGTTAGGACCCGGGTACCCACAGGACTACCCGGATCCATGGTTGGTCACATGATATAGTTTAATGACAATAGCAATAAAACTCCATGGTTACTCTACAAGTTGCTTACATGTGAAGATCCGGGGTAGAATAGGTCTTCAGCTACCCATGCTTGCTGTAAAAGGCGACTGCTTGTCGTAAGAGCCGACTAACGGGATCGAGTGGTCAGGCTCGCTGACTTGGTTGATGCATGTCATCAAATCCCAATCGCGTGGATCCATGCTCATGATGTCAGTCCCGGATTGTCTGGAATGTTGCTGAGTGCGGTGTTAAATAACAAACAAACAAACAAACAAACACCACAAGTTCCTAATGTTTGTGTTACTTTCTGATCATGCATGCATTCTTTCTGACTTTTATATCATTGAGTAACGATAATCAACATGCAGTTCTTATGCATGATCAGATCGCTCTGTACTTGTTTCTAAATAGTTTTTGCCAGGGTAGAAGATTTGTTATGTCCCCCGCTATGATATTGCTGGAATATTGCTAAAACCGGTGTAAAACCATACTCACTCTCTTATCAGTAATTTTGCACTAATTTCTCTTTCTAATGAGTGTAATTTGACTGTTCAGCTAATAATTCAACAAAGTTGTTCCATATTTCAAACATTTAAGACTCAAATTGTGCTGCACTGGTGCAGGGTGTTTATCTTGACAGAATGAGTGAGTGAGTGAGTATGGTTTTACGCCGCTTATAGCAATATTCCAGCAATATCACGGCGGAGGACACCAGTAATGGACTTCACACATTGTACCCATGTCAGGAATTGAACCTGGGTCTTCGGCGTGACGAGCGAACGCTTTAACCACTAGGTTACCCTAGCGCCCCCTGACAGCATGGAGACGTGATAACCAGGATATTTGACTATGCTTTGGTTGGTTGGTTTGTTGTTTAACGCCGCACTCAGCAATATTCCAGCCAAATGACGCCGGTCTGAAAATAATCGAGTCTGGATCAGACAGTCCAGTGATTAATGTCATGAGCATCGATCCACGCAATTGGGATCAATGACATGCATCAACCAAGTCAGCGAGCCTGACCACCCGATCCCGTTAGTCGCCTTTTATGACAAGCATAGTCGCCTTTTACGGCAAGCATGGGTTGCTGAAGACCTATTCCACCCCGGATCTTCACGGGTCTATGCAAAGGAAAGGGCAGACTAACATTTAGTCCCAGAAATAAATCTTATTAAAAAATATATATATGCAAAATAAAATGTACAGTCCAAATGGAGCTCAGAACACTGCATAGTTTCAGTAGCTGATGCTTTAGACTTGCCAAATTATTCTAGCCTTGGGTTTTTTCACTTTTAATTTGTTCTCTAGGATCTGGGAGACAGACTAAAGGAAAGGCAATGGCAATAAATAATATAGCAAACTTATGTCAACTTAACAGTACTTCTTGAGAGCTGTTGTAAACGCTGGAACTACTGGAAAATAATATTGGCATATCCATATCCTCCTTCAAACCCTCAAGTCTCTTAGGTAGTATTTCCAGCTGTCCAATTAGATACGTTTTAATTTGTTATTGGAACTCTTGGATGTGGCATATGTAACAGAATGGAGATTTCCTGCACCTGATGTTTGAGGATGGGTACAGAGGATGGGTAACGGAATGGAGATTTCATGCACCTGATGTTTGAGAATGGTTACAGAGGATGGGTAACGGAATGGAGATTTCATGCACCTGATGTTTGAGAGTGGGTACAGAGGATGGGTAAAGCATCCCAAAATCCTGTGGGGAATCCAGTTTAGAATTGATACCCAGCGAACTATGTGGGTTGTAAGAGGCGATCAAATGTGTTAGGTTGTCAGGCTCGTAACATTGTTGATTGCTTGTCATTGTACCCCGACATCATGGATTGTAGTTCCCTATAAAATAACTGGATTGTCTGGTCCAGACTCAATTATTTGCAGGCTAAAACATATACCGTATTCAACGTAATAAGCGCCCAGGGCGCTCTCCAAATTAGAAATAGGGGGCTCTTATTAGAATATTATTTTGGTGGAAAAAACAGTTGAAAGATAAATTTTGTGGTTTATGCTGACAGCCTGAAATGTTTATGTACGACAGATATATTTTTTCCAGAATTTAATTGCCCATAATTAAGGGTGCATATAACACATGAATGCGTATTAAACACGAATAAATAAGTCTTGTGTACATTGATCAATCTGAAGGGGTGCTTATTGGGATTGTTCACTAGCGAAAATGCTAGCAATTATCGTCGTGGGCGCTTATGAGAGTGGGGTGCTTATTACGTCGAATACGGTAACTGGAATATTACAGCGTGTAGTGTTAAACAACAAACAAACAAACAAACATCAACAATGATATGATCAGCATGGAGCCTAAAGGACCAGCGGACAGAAGCTGACCCCTTCATTTGTTCTGACCTCAGTGTTAATAAAAATACTAATAATAGCAATTTCCTTGTGGTATAATTTCTTTGTTTTCAAATTAATACAGAAGACAAAATATTCCAGATAAACTTCAAGTTGCTCTCAGAGAAATAAGTCCCCTGAAAGTAACACAAGACTGTCAGACGACCATTGTTATAATTCAGGAAACGGGTTAAAGAGAGTATCGGACCAGTACTGATAACAATAGGTACCCTAGATTAAGGAAGATGTTCAATAATTCATGTAATGTTCAGTATCAATACAAAACTTGTATCATGGTACAAAGCATGGTGATACTTTGTCGAATCAGCACAGTCCTAATTATTCAACAGATTGATTACTTCCTGTCCAAACCATTCCCCCACACTGAACAGTGGACTTGCAATGATTAATCTTTTAATGCATTGAAGTTGTCCATAAACTGATGGCAGTACATCAATGACAAGTTAAAATATCCATAGTTAACACTGATACCAGCCTATGCTATAGATTGTATTGATAGACTTGACAAGATGAAGCACCTGTTGTTCATCATTGTACTTTCCATTCGTATATGA